TTCAACAATTAACAAGTGGCTCAATAATCGTCCTTACAAGTTTATTCCAAATAGATATTAGATACATAAGAAATCCAAAATATTAAATATTAAATTATGTTATGATATCGAATATCTGATTAAGTAAAAAGACATACTGATTAATTATATAATTCTATCAAACATAATTATTTTTTTAAAAACATAAATATATGCTTAGCCCTTGTAAAAAAGTCAAATTAGAATTTTATTACTATTTCATAGAAACATTCATTATTATAAATAAAAAATAAATGATAAATTAATATTTAGAATATTATGAATTTTTTTGACTTTTTTTGATTGAATCATATCAAATCATTTAACAAGTTTTGGAATCGCCTGTATTAATCTATTATACTTCAGGGAAATACGAATATGATTTAACTGCATCTTCTATTATCTCTCATAGCTTTTATGTTATTCCTTTAAAATCTTTTCATGATTTCTTTCCAAATAGCTTAAAATGATTGATGAATCTTCAGTTCTATGAATCCAGTAAATATCTTTAAATAATTATGAAGAACTGCTTTCTCTTTCTAAAATTTGTCTACTCTATCGCTAAAAATTGTTTTTCTTCTTCATTTAATATTCAGCTATTATTATTTTCCCAAAATTATTGCGGCCATTTGCATTTCAATTTCTCATTTTTATGAATCAAGGTTAAAGTGAATTAAAATTTCGCTAAGAAATTTTACTCTGTTATTAAACTTAAGTTCATTTTTTTTATCAATTGCAAAATCTAGGGCAGAATTTATCATTTAAAAACATCTCCAATCACAGATATTGGTCCGGATAAAACTGATCCAATTTCGGATATATTTTGAACTATATTTAATACTTTTTCTGAGTTTGTTTCGATAATATCATTTGTGTTTTTTTTAAATAAATCTTTAGAGATTAGCTAAATCTCTTTTAAGTAATTGTAGCGCCTCCAAAGTAAAGATTTATAATAGATTTATTAATGTTAATTTTCTGGTTGATTCAGATTAATTAATAATAATTAGTCAACATTATATCGATCTCACTGTACTAAGATAATTGCATGCTTTTCTAAATATTTTTATTTCTATTCATTTCGAACTAGATATTAATGACACTACTTAACACATAATAAAAAAGATAAGATTTGGGTTAAAACTTTGTTCAATATCATATAATCTTGTTCCCCTTCCTTCTTTAAAATGGGAATCTATATTATCTCTATTAATTTCAGCTACTTATTAATTAATTATGATTGTAACATCTAAGCATTCGCAAAAATTATGTTGCTAAAAGTTATATTCTGGTTCTACGTAAAAATTAGCATACTAGGTTTATATAAATTAATTAGTACTTTTTAATACAAGAATTTTTAGAATTCTTCTGAAAAAATCCATTCCTTAGACTTTATTCTATCGATTTAAAGAAATGTTGGTTTACTAGTTTAAATTGAGTTTTATTCATTTATTTCAAAGTGAGAGCTCTCATTATTTTGGCTTATTTAATCATCCTCCTGATTTTTAATATAATTTTTTGAAGCAATTATATTAAGAATTTGTAGTTGAGCCTCTTTTTTAACAGGTTTTATGAATTTAAGTCTGATTCATTGCATATTAAATCTGATTTACAAGTTGAGCTTCAATAAAGTTTAAAGTCTTTTAAATATTAATAATATGAAAGCGATCATTCTTGTTTAACAAACTTGTATGTCTAGTTTAATTTAGCTGTCTCCAATTATATTGATAAATCTATATTTCTTTGAATAGGACTGCAGCGTTTCCTCTTCTCAGTATATTAAAAATCTACTTCTTTTTAAGTCTGAAGTTGCTAAGTTGAGAAGTAACAAATGATTGATTCAATCGGCAATGTACCTGGAAATAAAAGCAACATCTGGACGAAAACAAGTTGTATATTCTATAGAAAAGATTTCATTAATTATCTCTTGGGCCATAGCCATTCTTATTATCATTTTAAATAGATAAATTTAAACAAAGTTATCTCTCATAATTAGCTTCATGGTATACAGAATTTATTTTTGAGTTTTTGGTTGCATCTCATTGCATTCTATAATTTCTAGATTTGATAAAAATGTTTGTATTTTAGTCAATGCTGTTTAAGAACGAAATTACATTTTACTCAATAAAGGAGAATATAATGTTTAAATTTTTTTTGAAGAGCTACTTATTAAAGTAAAAGCTAAAGCTTCATTTACTTAAGTGGTCAATTATTATTAATATCATAAAATAAAACTCATTTAATAAGAGGATGCATTCTTTTTTCATTACTAAAAAATTGATAGTCTTGACGAAAATTAATCACATTTATGGAATACCGAATTCTCTTATTTTAATTCTGCTCAATCCTAAAGAGGCTATTTCTTCTGAATTTAGCATCTTTCATTGGCGAAGATCTTATGATAAATAATCTTGTTCAACTTTGCTTCCTTCTTTCATTTTCCTTGAACATCTTTATCACATATTTACTATATATCTGTACTCTTTGATCAAGACTCAAATAAACCTTTTACATTGAAAATTCACAGTCACACACTTTATTTTTAAGTTATTGATTATACTATTATAATATCAAGCTAATAAGAAATTTATTTTTAAATAGTGATCATAAATCTAGGCTTGAC